TTTTCTCCCTCAATGACAACAGCCACTTCATCAATGGTAGGTGCATTAAACCTCCTTGTGTGTTCACCGGTAGGTGTTTTGTCAGCTCGAATGATAATATTATGTCTATCAGATGGCATCCGATCCAATGCTATTTTGAACATGTTTGCTAAATTGTTATTTTGATGAAGGAACATTCGTAATTCTTGGCAATGGTTCTCTTTACTGTTGGATTGTGAGCACAACGATTATCAATTTTCGCATGTGATTTGCCCATAAAATAAATTTGTAAAAATTGATGATCTGCATGAGGTAGTGGTAACAGTGTTTCCAGTAAGTGATAAATTTCTCCTTGTATCTGTAATTTTAAAAAAATTGTCTATTAATTATTTCCGATATATATATATATATTATATATAGTATATATATTATATATATCTATATATATATTATTAATATATATACATATATATATATCGGTACCAACTTGAATATAATAAAAAAAATATTCTGGTATAATACTTTGAAAGTGGGCATGAAATTGTCCTGTATAATATGTGTAGCACCAAATGATGTCTTCTGAAAACAGCTGTTATATTTCTGAATGTTGGCCAAGAAGTGCTTAGAATAAATTCCAGTCCCAGAAACTAAAGAGCGTAAAGGATGGTGGGACTAATTGTGTTAATTTTACTTTGCCTCCAGCACAACAATCCAGTAGATTCACCAGTCTATTATAACGCCTTGCAATATTCATAAATTATTTTCATTTCCCCAATTGTTACCGATTTGTCGGCACAATAATCAATTGCCGGATCATAGTGGAATGCAGCTTGTTCAAGAATCACAGGAGCACTGCGTCTGCGGATTCGCTCAATTTCATTATGTCTAGCTTGCTGTTGTGTTTGATGTGCACGAACTCCTTGAATTTTATGCCTATCTACTACATTGTCAGTCACTAAAGAACGCAATTCTGACTTAGCAATACGTCTATTTTCTTGATCTGTCTCTCCCTGGTCATCAGTGCGGTTAGCACGTGAGGTATCTCTTCACACATTTGATTGACTGCGACGATCTAAGTCAGGTCGTCTCCTCGGCATCGTAAATTGAGAAAAAATCTCGCTCATTTAGTAGTAAAGTGTCACTATAACAAAATATCACACACACACATTAGTTCCTCCAACGCGCACGCGAATTTGAACTTTATGCATTTCAAAACGAACCAAAACCAAGATAAAATAAATGCGTTCAGCCGTTCTCGAGTATCGATAGTCGAGTTCTCAATAATCTGACAGATTAACCTTTTAAATACGAATTGGAAAGAGGTTTCCCAGAGCATTTCAACCCAGCCGTACGAACGGGATACTTTTGGCTTGACCTCAAGAGGCGCGCGTCGGCTCTTATCTATCGCTTGCTGACGGATGGCAAGCCGCGGTGCAGGGATGTGGTAATGGAGTACAGTCTTGGGGCAGGAAGAGCGAGTATGGGCTCCTTTGGCTGGAGCTGTTTTGAGGGTTTTCCTGGCAATTATTCGAATTTTTCTCAACTTTTAAACCTTCCCTAGACCTCCACGAACATTTTAAAACCGAGATCAGATAAATCGGTTCAGCCGTTCTCGAGTTTTAGCGAGACTAACGAACAGCAATTCATTTATATATATATATATATATATATATATATATATATTATATATTGTGACGAACCTGGGAAGCGGTACTTTCACGACAAATAAATTTACAAGGGACAGGTACATTTTCGTGAATGGGTCTCCAGGTATTTGACGCAGCATAGGAAGATAATCGTTATAAATTCTTTTTGCACATTTAAATATTTTAATGATCAGAAAACACACTTTACAAATAGTATTTACAAATCGCAATACGCAGGCCTTGGAAACAAGCGCACGGTCAACGCTACCTCGATGTTTTAAAAAGCCCCTGCTTCCTCTGGAGGTGACCGGGGCCGTCGTGGCAACTGCGGCGGTGGCTTCGGCAAGCTTCGTTTCGCCCCGAAGTCCGCCGGGAATTTGCCCTCCCTCGGCGACTAACTCCCTGGTCCACCGAAACGGCCGATGAATTCGCCGGGGTCCACCCCAGCCGGCGTGAACAATGTCTCACGGGTACTGGAACGCACGACGCGTGATTGATGTTCGTCGATTGTTCCAGTCTTTTCAGCAACCCTTCTCAACTTCGCGCGAATGTCCGTAAGCACTGCCCACTGTTATAGTATACCAGGGGCGGGATTATAACATCAGCCCACCGGCCACACGATTTCCTGTCTTATTTGTTTTTATCAGTTCTGGTACGCAATTCTGCTTCCCCTAATCATCTGACCATCTGACTGTTAATCCTTATCAAACCTGGTTCCACATTCAACGGCCACACTCAGTCCGAACTGCACCTAACAACGACAAAAAATCTCTTGGACGCAGTACTGCACCGCCCGTGCTTCACTCGAGGCCTCTCCGCGCACCACTAACCGTCGCTCGCCTCGCCGTCCCCCCCCCCCGCGATTTGACGTTGGTGGCGGCGGCGGCCGGCGGAAGGCGTTTTTCTGGCGCTGATCATCTACAGTACTTTATTTTAATTTATAATTAGTGATCATTTTAATTGTTCTAATTACAGAAACGTTCTTCGTTTTAATATATATAATAGATTAAAGTTTTTTCTGAAAATGAGATCAAAATTTCGCATTTTTAGAAATGCTTAAATGAATTTTATCAAAATATTTTTAATGAAAATTTGCATTGGGACTAACTATTCTATAATATTATTAAAGTCATATTTAAATTTTAGTATGAGGAAACAGAAAAGAATTGAGAAAGTGTGAAAAAAATGTCTTTCGGTCACTGATAGCTAACAACTGGGGAGAGGGTGGGGTAACACTTAATAGCCAGCCCAGACTAAAGAGATTTAGGAACTAGGAAGGTAGTAACAGGAAGTCGGTCCCTTTCAGATGCACACTATTTAGGTTCTTGTCTACTACTCGTGTAGTAATGGGAAAGTAATTAATGTCACAGCAGCATTGTCCATTACATTAATTGTAACAGTTTCACTATGTTATAATTAAACCTTATGATATAATTAGACATTATGAAATTTTAGGCACAATAAAAGTGATGATTTAGGCATCAAAATTATGAAATTAGGCATTATTTGGCACGAAAAGCAACGTATTAAGTACTTCAAATACGCTATGAAATGATTAAACCAGGCATTGAAAAACATGACATGAAAAGTTACATTTCTGGTATCTGAAACTGATCACAAAAGGTCTAAATATGCACTTTTTATTATTTAGGGAAAACAAAAATTTTTACATTTATGGTAGTGACCAAAGACATTATTTTTTTACATTTTCATATTTAGAAGTGCATCAACATTTTCTCCAAATTTTGTACAGTAAGACCATCTTCTCCGTTAAAATTGTTTTGAAAGGTGAAAAAGACCTTTCCATCGACCCAGATGTTAAACTAGGAACAAACTTAAATTTAGCCATATTTCAAGTCCATTTTTTGGAACTTTCCCACCCTCTACCACGCGACCCATTACACCATATTCAGGATGTTCTATTACGCTCTCCCATTTGCATTTACATTTGTCCCCAATGGCTTCGTTAGCAGCACTAATAATCACTTTGGCCTATTGCGTTCCGAGTATAGCTGTTGTTGAGGGCAGGAACGAAAAATGTATTTTGCTGGGCCGTTTCGCCTTTTCGATAGTAGGCTTTTGCCTGACGTGTGTTTTTCCTCGCTCGAATTGCGTAGACATCGCGCCGCGGCTATAAGCTTCAACGTATCAGCAGCGCAGTTGCGCCCGGAATGGGTGCAATTGCCTAAGGATTACATGTTGATTGAAGACATGCGTGAAGCATCGTCTTTACATTGACTTGCAGAGCTTGTGTTGGGCGAGAAATTTCAGAATGTAGTTGATTGCGTTTTCGACGAGGGAATATTCGCATTTCGGGAAATTCGGAAAAGTATTTGCGTATTCGGTATAACAAATTTAAAAAACAACAGAGAAAGTGAAAAGAGTAAATAATATATGATAATTCTTCAAAGTTAGTTGGTTTAGGAAGTTATATGCAAAAACATATTAAAATAGGCATTAAACCGTCCTTTTAGAACATTTTAGACACTTTCAGTAGATCTATTTTTTCATGATTTGTAAACACCTGCAATAATTTTCTACAATCTCCTGAAGGAACTAAATGGGTATTTGTCCTAAAATCCGAAGTCAAATTATAATACTACATGAACCTACAAAAATATTTCCAACCAGAAATTGTTTTCCCTTGCCCGACACCGACGAACTCTAATCCACCGAGTGAACTTACGATGCGCCATGGTGTGGGTGTAGAGCGATTTTTATAAGAACGAGCGAAAGTGACAGTTCGCTAAACAAGTGAATATCTCGTGTAATTCAGAGAAGTATCCTTCTGCGCAGCAGTTGTTCAGCCGTGCCTCGTAAAGTGTTTGTTTAGAGCTCCCGAGAAGATATACAGAAGTCTAAGGGTTTCGCTCAGTTATATAAACGTGAATGTGGGAAATATAATTATGTATGTGGAAAAATGTCTTGAAAAATCTCTTTGCGCACTATATTTTCGTCGGACGAGGACATCCCAAAAAAAACGTCGAAGCCATTTACAAGATTGCTAACTGCAAACGAACGAATGCAGGAAGGAGAATCTAATAGGCTGAAGAACACAGCAATCACTGAACTTTGTTGTGTTGCCAACACTAGCTGTCAAAAATGTCGATTCTTATAAAAATCGCTCTATAACTAGGCAAAATGACACCCAGGGCAAGCTTTTCCCACTGCCACCCCTCCGTACACAAACACTCACGGACACCATAAACATTACGGCAATCGGGTTATGCTCATAGTTCGTAAACGGTATCTCATGACGACACGACTGGTTAGGAACTAAACAAAAAATCACACATAATACTTAATGATATAACAATAGATATATGGATTCCCCTAGGTACATTAGTGTATTAAATTGAATTCAATTGGTTTCAGGATGTAATCTGGCCATGTCATGAAGCAAAGGAAACAACAAAAGACTTCAACCACCAGCAGAAACAATTAATAGTGCATTTTTTACTCTTGTTAAAGATTAGTGTATTACAATTTGGTGTTGATCAATAGTTCAGTTATAGAAAAGGATGGATCTAAAAACTTTATTGTGCAATATATAAAAGAAGAAAAGCACATTCATTCACTTATTCAAAATCGATGAAGGTTCTGAAACATATGAAGTTGACATGGAGGACTTAAAAGTTAAGCTCCCTGACCCATCTCTGTTCGTTTGTTCTCAAAGGCAGGAAAGAAAGAAAAGGAAGAAAGAAAGAAAGAAAAGTGACTTTATTTATGTTGCGAGATATGAGCCGTCAGGGTCGCTCTTCCACCTAACCACATGATTCTTAAATTTGTAGATAGAAAATTGAACACTTAAGTGTTATTTAAAGATACATTTTGTAAGTAAAATAATATACAACTTGGTAATGCCTTGCTTCTGCGCTCACCAAAGCGAAAGGAAACAACATCACAGCATTTGCCTTAAGGTGGCATTTAAAACCAGGGAAAACAGGAAGAGTGCATGCGCTTCAACATTGAGCAACAAAATAAAATATTTGAAATAATTTTAAAAAAACATTACTGATTCAGGAAAACACTAAACGCATGCCCAAAAATAAATTAAATATTAATTTATCAATATGCATCAAATATTAATAAAAAAGGCTCAATGCATTAAGAACTTTTTTAAAAAAATACACACAAATGCCACTCGGCCAGGACGACTGCTCAGCGCCAATTTTAATTTACAACATCATGTACCATGGGAAAAGACGCCTTCTGTCAGAGCAATGATAAGTCAATCTAATGAATTAAAAGTTACTAGTAGATATACAAAAACCTTTCTAATCCTATAATATACTGCCACGAAGTCGGTTTTCTTCGTAAGAGAGGAGTCGTGAATCGCCTTAGCTTTCAACTAGCTCGGTCGGTAGAAAGGTGGCCTGAAAACAAGGGATAGCGGGCGGACGTTGTTTCGATGTAAACAAAAATTTTACGAGATGAGTTTAACATCCAATTTTAATAATCTAAATAAAATTAACATTTATAATACTTTCCCTAGACCTAGCAGAAGTTCGTATTAAATTCCCCACAGTGATAATCCGATATTATTAAACTAAATTTTATGACAAATAGTTTACATGCTTTTTTAACGCAGATTTTTTACTTGCGAGTCAAAGTGCGACTAAAAATATTTTCTGTCTTTAGCTATTAGCACTGCAATTCAAGAATCAATTTGCCTGAGGGGTAGTTGAGAGCTTATTAGCTACAGCTCTCGAAAATGTCACCGTGGTGGTTGGCTCGAATCCAAACACATGTTGGTCGGAGTAGGTCCAGGACGGACATAATTTTTACTTAATTGCATGTGGGTGGCGCCGTAGATGCTCGAAGGGGGTGGTTAATGTCGTTTCTGATAGTGTGTTTCCTAAAGGGATAAGTGGTGGCCGGCTCGGAATGGGTACCATGGGGTCTCTCATACAATAGAGCAGTCATAGCTGGGGGGGGGGGGGGGCGCGGGCGCGTTGAAAAGACCCTGGCCTGAGGGGCGCGTGAGGGACAGCTCGGGAGAGCCGGCCACTGTAGGAAAACTATTGGAAATTATATTATTTAATAATACCGTATTCGGTAACGGCACAAAACTTCAATTAAACTAATTATACTATTAATTAAATTAAGAACTAACTTAAGAAATTCAAGAAAAGTAAAAACTGCAAAAGTGCGATATAAGATGTTACATTTACCTAATAATTTTGAAAAATGTACACACTTTCACTTACACTAGCAGCTAAAAAAAAAAAAAAAAAGATTTAGTAAATGTTTTTTGAATGATTGCGATGTTTTACATTTTCTAACATGTACTGGAAAGTTATTTCACTTTCTGGTCATTGCTACAAAGTAAGATTTGTTGTAAAAATTGGTGTTGCATATTGCATAGCAAGGAATCTTCTTGTTTTGAGATGAGGAATTTTATGAGAGAGGTAAGTAGGAACCCTCGTATATGATATTTTGTAGAAAAGACACAAACACTGTAACATGGGACGTTTCAAGTTTAATACGTATGTGATTTGCTTTGTAGTATCCCGATATGTGGTCATACTTTATATTATAATATATTTTTACCCTTTCTGGCTCATTTACAAATACATAATACACACATAACATTTCAATGAAATCTTCCTGGAAGGAACAACAATCCTTCTAAGTTAACATTCACTGTACATGTTTTGCACTGACTAAACTCTCTGCTGACCTTTGCAATTAGAGCATAAACTAATACATTACTTGGATTTCAATTTTACATTACGAGAGAAAGATAGTTTTGTTTCAACAAGTATTAATTAACTTTTGAATTACTAGAAGTTCTTCCTAGTATCATTATTGCATTACATTGGGTCATATGAATAAAAATGAGCACTTGCTCATGAGTACTTGCTCCAAAGTGAGTCTACTCCGCGGCACTGAGCAGAAGCTCGATTTCGTATGAATAAAAACTTCGTATGTCTCCGAAGAACTTACTCATGTCTCGCAAGCATTTGCTCGTCGTGAACAAGTGCACGCTAAGAGTTTTAAAAATGGGGTTCTTGAGCAACAAAGAGGTTACATACGTTACGCGCGTCGCGCACATTTGAGCGGAATAAAGAGCAATAGTTTGTTGTCTCATTCTTTAAATTCGAATATGAATAGCAGTAACGAAAAACAGGCGCTAGTGGCCCAGCTAATTTTTACCGAAATGCTAAGTGAATATAAAATTATTTTTGAAAAGAGCCAGCTTTCGGAAGTACGCTGTGGTCGAAACGAAACATTACAAAGTTTCAAAGAACAGTACCCCGAAAAATTCCAAGTAGAAAAGAGCGATGGCCAATTAACATAGAAGATATTCAATATGAAAACGCGCCTGAAAGCAAACGCCGATAAAAATCGTATCAACCATACATTGTACTTTTCGATTCGGCAAAGATTCTAATAGTCCACATCACGAGAATTTCGCCTAATCTTGCATTTTTTTTAGTCCGCTGCATATGCATATTAACACATGGTAAAAAATCGGCCAATTTAACCTTACTTTTCAAACGTGAGTCTGGTCCCTCCAAAATATTGGAGCAAGTGCTCACTCTAGAGAGTAAACGCTTAACTTTATTCATACAAATTCTGAGCATTTGCTCGCCCGTTGAGAGTACGCTCAGAGTTGAAGCAAGTACTCAGAGACTGAGCAATTGCTTACCCACTTTATTCATACGAAACTGAGTAAGATCTCGGAAATAATATATAATATAAAGTATGACCACATATCGGGATACTACAAAGCAAATCACATACGTATTAAACTTTAGCAAAGAGTACTTGCTTACCATACCACCCATTGTCCTACTTGAGTTTCAAATAATAGAATCTTCACAGAATCTTTCTTACTTGAATTCGCCTGCAGGTTAACGAGACGTCAGTAACACCTGGGTTTTGTCGCCGTTTTTGCATCCTCCTGTGACCTTCAAACCGCCTCGCCTCCAGTCGTTGGTGCCTCAGATCCTTGACGTACGTGGCCGGTAGCTCAATGCTCCATGCGGTCCCGCATATCCAAGTATTTCTTTTCCCAGTCACGTAATGTGTAAGGGGAAATAAAATCGACCTAAAGTAACGTAATAGAGTGTCTAGTCCACTAACCATATAAAGAAACCTTTGTTATAACCAAACAAAAAACTCTTCTGAATTATAATCATAAAATGAAGATACTCTCCTCTTAATTATAATCATACACGAAGAAAAAGGGGAAAAACTGAAAGGAAGAACAAATACGTGTAAATTACACTAATAGGTATTATGCACATACTCTCTGCTTTCATTACATTACGTTTAATTTTCATCACGTACTCCTCCCTCTACATATTTGTTATATTTTCACCCACATCATACATATAATGTATAAATATATTTAATGTACCACCAATTTACCACCTGTCCGTTCGGCTGCTTCGTATTGAAAGAGCGCTTTCCGCCTGAGCAGTTGCATCTCCTACTAGCCAAACTAGCGTATTCTGTTGTTACCCTGAGACACCATGTGCGCTTCTTTCAAACAATTATTTATTAACACTAACTTTCTATTACTTATTAACAATTATTATTTACTCTGTGGTAAGAAGAATGCGCCCAGTTTTTTCCCTTTTCAAATGAAAAACAATTGGTCACAATAGGGATCAAATTAACAAGGTGCATCAAATTAGATAAGGGGCAAATGGAACCTGGGACAAATGGGATAATGGAACAAAATGAGATAAATGGGGGAAAATGGGACACGTCGGACATCGAGATAAAATGAGCAATTAGAGTAAACGGAAATGTGGGACAAAAGGGACATGAAAAGGGGCGGCATGCACAAAAATCACGAGACAAAAGGGATATTCATCCAAAGATTTAAGAGCGCTGGTGAAATCTAAACCCAAGACTTCGCTAAAATATTTTTCGTAATACTGTCCGTTAATACATCTGCATAACGCAATTCTATAAAAAAGGTAATCTTAATGGCTGCCGGCCGTTAAGGAGCCAAGGAGTTCTTCGAACTATTTATTGAAGTTCGCTTTTTTTGTTTCTGTACAATTCAGTGAAACTAGCGCTCTATTGTTTGTGGTTTCTATATAAATAGTCAATGACACAAGTTCGTCTTGTCTCGAAACGGGACATGGGGCCAAATGGGGCAAGGGGACAAAATAGGATAAGGAGAGAAATGGGACAAGTGCACGAAATTGGACAAAATAGAACAAAGGGACAAACGTGTTTCTAGTATGTTCTTACGATAAAATCTTGGTCTTTTAAATGTCGTATATGAAGCAAGGATCGTAGAGATTTGAAATGGAAAATGTCGTTCCACTCCTACGTATTAAACGCAAAGCCGTTTCTTATTTATATTATTTTTTTCTTATTAGCAGATGGTATTACTAAAAGTATTGAACGACACATGACCAATATCATAAGTAACAGACTTGGATGGTGTTTTTTAGTCTAATGAGGTTAATAACTATTAATGAACTCTAGAGTGTTTTAACAGCCGAATGTTGCTATGGACCTGTTCTTAATGCGTTGCTTAGATAATAGGTGGCTTAGGAGCTTAGCGCGTGTTTACCGAGTAAATGACAAAACTATTTATTATCACACCGTGCGCGAAATGCGGTTTCTCGTTCTTGTTTTCTGGATGTGAAACAGCTAATTTTTTCAGTGTGAGAAACGTCGCGAAATATGTCTCATAACCCACTAGTATGCTTAAAAGCCTCGGCGCTCCGGCCTGCTTCTTGGTAGAGCTAAAAGTTCCGCTACTCACCTCTGGCGCGCTGCTCACCGACCATTCCTCGATCCGCATATACTTGGAAATATACGGAGATCTGCATTACAAACATAGAACTTTTTGACTTAGAGGTATTGAATTAAAGTACTTAGGCCTCTCTATTACTTCATAAGTAACAGCAGTAATGTTTTTTAAGACCACTGGTACAAAATGTTAACAAATTATGTCAATGGTCGTTATTAAATGTACTGCGCCCCCGTCACACACAAGGAAACTGCTTATTTACAAATCTGGCGTAATATATTTTTGAATATTTCTTTCCAGACCTTGGAAGTTGTGATTCAGCTTTCACAATAAATAGCGTTACCACCGATTTCCTTCAGGGTTATTTAAAGATGAGGTTGATTAAACACGTCAAGAATCACAATTATCTTTCCATAGTAAATAAATGTTAACACACATTCTTTCATTTTATAATTCTTCATGTTTCTCAACGTTAACAGAATATATAACCCTGTTAATAAACGTCAATAAAATATATTGGCTACCTAACAATTAAGTTTATTCTCAAAATTCGACACAATTAATTATTCTCAAATACCACAAACAACGTCTGTTTATTTTCAATGAGAAAACGGCTCAAGTACTGGGAAAGTTAATCTGATACAGCTTTGTATGTTTATCGTATTGTAATACTCTGCCTTTAAAAGTAATACAATTTATCACAAACGTCGGTAGAAATTATGAGATGTCAGATTGTTGATATTTAATTCTGAAATATTGCTCTATCATTGTTGTGGAATTTGGAAGCGGCGTACGCAAAGGTTTATAAATAATTTCAACATTGTACATCAGTTGATCTTAATGAAAATCTCTTCTTGTACGTCCACGAGACCGAATTTCGCTAGTTGTAACTTTATGGTTTTCTCTTTATAAAAAATAGGTTGGAACGTTTTGTCAGAACAATAGTGATTTTGAGTGCTGTTTGCTGAGTGAACTTTCCTGGGTGTTATTTATATCAGCGTCACTCCGTTTTTTGACTAGTTTCTTCCAGTTATTTAGTGATTTTTTCCTTCAACAATAAGCACTTCTATTTTGAATTTATTCTTTTTGAGCATTTAAAGAATCAATACAGTTAGGAAATGTAGATATAGATGGTATAAAAACTGATAAAGTAATACTTTGAATTATTTTTCGTTTTCATTCATTGTCTTAAAAAAGTTTACAGACATTATTTGGATTATATGTCTCTATAAACACATGAAAATGAAGTAAATATGAGAAATAATTAAGAATAAATATTGTATTTTATACGTCAAAAATA